ACCTTATGGAACTACATCCCACATCAAAACGTTAAAGTCGCGCCTTTGAAGGCTCGCTCCGGTACCAGATGCAAACTGTTCTTCCCAAGTAGCTCGGTCCACAGTGGTGGTGCTTGCACCTCTTTCGCGGCACAAAAGCGAGAGACGAGGACGTTCATGCCATCATCCCTCCCTCTGGTCCTATCCACCATCACTGGCTCCACACCACTCTACCCAGACAAAGGCAGGGACATTGTGTCAACAGGAACTCAACTGGGGATCAGTTGCGGCAACCATGTCTTCTACAACACCACTGTCCGGTGATCTCGTCCTATGGCCCCTACTGCTCTCCCTCTGCTCGAATGCGCTTGCTAGGGGATTTAGTTGGGGCATTAGCGACGACTTTGTCGTTTTTTTTCACCACCATTGATCAACGTGCCCGGAACAAAGCCCTACATAAACACGCACCTTCTTTTGATCGTGGGTTAGCTCAGTCACACTAGGCGCCTCAAAGTGCTGACGAATCCAATCCTGCTGCCCGAGATTGTTCAAGTGCATGTACTCAAGACCGGTAGTTTTACAGTAAATTCGCTGCAACAAGTGATGTTATTCAGGAAGGCAACATAGTTTAAAAAAATGTGCCTGAAAACCATACCTTTAGCCTGTGAACGATTTCGCGCAGAGTAAGGACTTGTTTGTCGCCGCCGATGAAAGTGGTTGGTGGCAGCAGGAACTCTCTGAAAGATCGTCTCTGATAGAACGGCACTCCTCCATATCGAGACCACCAAAGGAAACCAACAAAATCAGCCCCACCTGTCCAGATCACGTTCTCCGAACCCATAGAAGGAGAGTTCAAGCTCCGGTGGGATGGTGTCATCGAGATCAGGCACTATTGATTCCTAATGGATCCAAATCGGCTATATTATGGCCACGAGTCTGAAATATTGAAAAGAAGGCATACAGCTGATTCAATATCCTTCATTGCTAAATTCAAGAATGGCTGGACGAATGAGCTAAAAGGCATCAATATTCGGAGCAGGGCCCATCTTCTCGTTTGAAGAAATTTTCGCTCCTCCGCCAAAATTCCCTCCCAGTGGGCGAAATTCCCTCCTTTCTCACCATCTAAATACCATCTCAACGACTTTCTCAAAACTTTGACATCGTGAAGGGTAGGAGAGGAGAAGTACGTCTCCAAGAAAGAGAATTTAGGTCGGATACCGGATACCGAAATAGGAGAGCTATCTCTGAAATCGTCGCAAACCGGCGGGGAGGTGTCAGGAGTGTCAGGTAGAGTGTCAGCTACCGCTCTAGAAAAATAGCCCAGCATGGGCTCATTCGACGCCCGTTGATACCGCCTTGCTGAATTGCAGCGGTGTCAACTGTATTTACACCCGAAAGCGCGAAACGAAAAAACGCACAGTCTGAGAAATCTTTCTCGGAAATGAGTGTGGTATCGCTTTCCATGATAGCCAAATACGACCTCCCGGTGTCGATGGCGTACGTCGCTACTTTCGTGCTACTTTTTCTGAGTTCCGTCCGCCTGTGAAGACTGACGATAAGTGTAACCCTCGAATTCGGCCACTTTAGATAATAGGGTAGTTTCGCTCCTATTCCCTTTTTGCTGCATTCCTTTGCGGCAGCGTCCACCAGCGACCAATAGCATCCACAAGCGTTCCGAGAGTCAGAGCAGCGACAGCTACTCGGAAAGTATAAGGGGGGGGGGGCAAAAAAAAGTCACTTCGACAGAG